GGAACTACAGAATGTAGCGTTTTTTTGCTTGAAAAATAATGAAAACAATTAATCAATTATTAAAAACAGTTTCCGGTCGATTGACGACTCAATAATCGACTAATTCTTTCAGCTCTGTTAACATAGATTACAAGAGGTTTTAAAATTGTTTGCTTGGGTGAATAAATTAAGATCCAGTATATTACTCTTACATCCTTGCTCCTTCACGTATCTATATTCACTTCATATGTGTGTCTGCTGTTGCAGTGATGATGGATGGAGGTGTATTGTCTGTCTCCCGCTCATGGGTTAACTGTCCTTGACTAAACCAGATATAGAGCTGAGAGATGAAGGCAGTACAGCATCCCCTCTGTCTGCTCCTGCTTGGTCCTGTTTATTGAATTATACATCAGTACAACCGCTGCCTCTTTTTTCTCTCCCCTCATCTCGACTTAATTTGATCAGAGAATCTGCTGATGCAGTGTGTGCCCGGCTCATGTGAAACCAATTTAAAGCTACACATAAAAATCTGGTGTCTTTTTTACGCTCTTCTTCTCTCTCTGTCTCTCTCACACACGCATGCACGCACATGCACATGCACACGCACACACACACACACACACACCCAAAGTCAGAGATGCAGAGACCTTCTTCTAATAATAATCTGCCTGTATATAAATCTCAGCAGGAAACACCAGCAGTTGGTTTGTCCACAGGTGAGACAGTGAGAGGTTTCTCAAATTCAGACACCAAACAATTTAAATTCCGGGTCATGTGGCGGTGATTGTGAGTACGGCTACGTTTACAAAAATGCGTGTGGTTTGGAGGATTGTGCATTTATACCGCATGCAGATAAATATTGTGGGAACATCACCAAGGCTCACTGTTTTGTTGCAATGGCAACGGAGCAACGGTTTTGTTGTGGATGGGACCAGCTGAGTAGGCTGAGACCGGAGATGTAACATAATCTTATTAATGTAAAAACTTGACTGACTTTTGCCTCTGTTTACATGTAAAGATACACAACAAATCCAACGCTTCACATCCACAATCAGTAATCAGTAAGTCACACCCCTCAGCTATACTTTTCAAGCGCAGCTATGAGTCAAAAGAAGCAACACTCAAAATGTAAATTTGAACCAATTTTGATCTCCTGGTCTCTACACATGGTTGTGAAGAGATTCTTGTGAAGGCCACTCCTGTTACTTGTGTCTCCACCACGGCTCAGTAAGTAAACACTGTCGACGGAAACTCAAGGAGGGAATTCACATTATAAAGGTTTAAATCTGACTCAAATTTTGCGGAAAAGCAATTCAGCATCATAGCAAGGAGTTGCGTTGGCCAATCCAATACATGCACACTGAGAATTGTGTTTTCGCTACCTTAGAATGAGCCGTTTATATCTACACACGGAGCAGGTCCTCTTCACAGAGCCGTCCGCCATGTTTCTACAGTAGCCCAGAATGGACAAACCAAACACTGGCTCTAGACACACTTAGCACACGGGAGAAGTTTTAGTTGGTTGCAATCTGCAACCTCACCAATCGATGCCGCCAAATCCTACACACACACAAATCGGTTCTCAGTCTGAATGGCACTTAAAATCGCATAAAATAGTAATTCTTCTCAACTTGTACAGAGATTAGGAACAATTACACTGATCGATGTGATTGCACCGTGATTGAAATGTGAGTGTTGTTTTAAGACGGACTTGGACACTGCTACTTCAGGGATTCCTGCAGCCATGCATAGAGGGCACAGATAAACGTCACCCTGAAATAGACTTTGGCACAAATGACAGAGTGAGCTCTGATGCACAGCTGTGATGTTTGGGGATAAGTTGGTTTATGAATTCCCAACATTCCTCCAATTACTTAAAATTCCCATCCATGAGACATGGATGGGAATTTTCCTATGGGCATCGTAGGAAACAGGTTCAAGTCCAACTCCAGTTTCTATTAAGGGTTCTTGCTGCTGTGATGTGTCCCATCTGCACAACAAACTTAAAATATTATACAGATGACTACCAAGATAAGATAACAGTCTTAACAGACAGACATATGACAAAACCTATTTGTAGCATACATGTGATGAAGCAGACACTGTCCCTTTTGGAGAAGCATTGTCACTAGTTTTGGTTTTGAGGATCCAAACATCAACCAAACAAAAATATTTTGCAGTAAAATATTTTTATACAACCACCCATTCCAAAAACTAAACATATCAAAGTTATGAAAAAACAAGTCTTCTTTCGGGATTTGCTCCTCTACAGACTTTGATCGTCGCTCTAGAAAGATCCCATGTGCTGTTTTTATAAAAATACTATTTCAACATAATGTTCCCACAACAAAAAGATACAGGCTATGTGGTTCCCATCTCCCATGCCTGGCCTTTCCCACAGCCAAACTGAACATGGCATTGCTGAGACATGAAGTCTAACCTACAGCTCCTTCTCCAGCCCATTACCCACACCGCCACGCCTCTCATAAGAAACCCATAGCCAGAGGAGCTTCAGGGACCCCGCTGCTGATACACATGGAGGCCTGTGCCAACATAAACCCCAGAGGCTCTGAGCTGCTGCATCAGTGCTGAGCCCGTCCCCTCAGCAGCGAATACCTGGACATGGTTCCTGCTGGCAGTTAACAAGTCGCCATTTAGTGGAAACCTTTTAGAGAGAATGCCATGCATGAGTGATGTATATCTTTGACAGCTGAGACTTTAGCCTGTAGCAGCGGAGTGGTTTATGTTAAGGGAGGCCTATAGGCTGCACTCAAAGCCTGTCATTCTTGATTGTTTCGCTGTGTGTGTGACAACCTTCAACTTGAAATTTATAGTTTCTTTACCGTGACACCTTTATTTTAAAATGTTTGTCTCAGCTTTTCCTGCAGTAAAAGGAAGCAAGGGTGGAAAGAAGAAGAAAAATGAATTCCAATTTATAGTCTCCCTTTATTTCTTATCTTTGGAGCCTGCATATGATATGCAAGTGAAAATAAATATCATCATATCTACACCAAATGTTTGAGGACATTGTCAAAGCTGTTATCATTTAAATAATAAGAGATTATTTAAAAGTCAAAGGCCATATCAACATGTTGTTAAAGCAAAGAAATAGAAATGTTTCACTAAGTTACTTTGAAAACAGTAAAATGTACAAATCAAGATCAACTGACAAATAAAGAGCTGGCATGTCTCTGCTTGTCTGTGTCAATCACACATAATGATGTTGATATACAGATAAATCCTTTACTTATCAACGGACATGAATGCATACAATCGAATGAAATAAACTGCAGCACTCAGCAGATAACAGGGAATAAAATTAAAATATGTCTAACTTCTCCTCATAAAAGCCGCAACATAAAACATATAAATGAGTAAACAAAAGTTGCTGTCGCAGCCAAAGTTAAACTCATTACGTTGTACTAGTAATAGCTCCCAACTGCAGACATTTTCTCATAAACAATGAAGAATATAGTAAAAAGTCTCGTTAACGAATACTTTCACAGCGAGAGGTGCCGGCGGTGAGCGAGACTACACCGAGACTGCACGTGCACTAGGCCCAAAACAGTAAAAAAAAAAACGTGTATTTGTTTAATTTATTTATTTATTTTTTACTGAGCAATTCAACTTTTAAATTGTGACCTCCTGACAGTCAGACACGTAATAGGCGCTAAAAGAGTATTGTTTCTGGGAAAGTGAACAAAACAACATTTTAAAATAAAATTTAGGATTTTCACCGTTTGTATCATTTTTATCTGTTATTTCTAAGAAGTGTAGTCCTCCTCCTGCAAAGTTGGACTGCAGATGTGGCCGACTTTATGTTGGGTAACAGCGAGAAGAGACGAGTTATGTCTCGAGTCATAATAAATAAGTTAATTATGACGGAAAATACGAGAGAGAGAGAGAGAGAGAGAGAGAGAGAGAGAGAGAGAGGAGAGAAAAGGCGGAGTGACATTTTAGCATTCATACTGAATTAATCTGCATCATTCAGGCCTGACAGCCGCAGTTAAAACACGTGAAAGAATTATTTCGTTTCATCCCTTTAAAATATAATTCAGGCGTGGAAATTAACAAGTTTACTTAATATTGCATTGTAGAATAATCAAAAGCTTTAAAATTATAGGCTATTTCCTCATTTATCACCTACAAATCTCAATAATTAAGAAAATTAAGGACGAGGATTTGCGATAATTTATCCAATTTAGCTACTAAAAGCTCATCGTTTCCTGAAAAACAATTTACGCTTTAATTCAGATGTTTAAAGCCAAGAAAAGGCGAATTGCTGGCGCGGCGTCTTATTGTGAACACGAAGCCAAGTATTTCAATGGCTTAATGGTTTTTAATTAATTTAATATTATGTAGCCAATTCTTAAATTGCAGGGCTAAAAGTTTGTTGCTGTGATGGTCTCTAAATTTCCATCATTATAAGTGGATATATCCGCAATGACAGACTTTGACTGGTAATCGTTTGGTTTAATGTGGGTCTCTAAAACAAATAGCATAAGAAAATATTTATTACATTTTTAAGCTCATCATCGGTTTAATGTAAGCTCTTTTTTTGGTCCAAAATCCCAGCTTGATCCTTTTAATTACAATGAATTCTCGAGGTCCTCTTTCTGCATGCAAGAGGCAAAGAAAACATAAATTAGATTTTCCTTACACACACATGCCAATAACAACGTGTGGCTCCATAGATGGAAACAACACTTTAAATGCCTTTAAGATTGATATAAAGAAATTAAAGCCAAAGGTTTGGGTTCTCAGTCATATAGCAGCAGGAATCAAAGACGTTATATTCATCCTCTAATTACATTAATGTCATGTGTTGTGTCTCCCGCGTGTTTCCCAAAAAAGCTTTCCCCCCTTCTGAGCTTGACCTCCCATTTCGACAGGCTGCATAATAGGGCGGGCTGGAGCTCGGTGTTGGCCTATACTTCAGATGTGTGTGGAGCCTGAAGGTCGGAGTGCTGCGTGTGTGTGTGGAGTGTGTTTATGTGTGTGGGTGATTGAGTGTGTGTCAGATACACTATAGCTACTGAGGCGGCATCAGTTTGAGCAAGGCATTTCTCTTTACCCCGACAAACCTTCAGGGGGCTTTTAGCATTTGTTCAGTCTGCAGTCTCTGGAAAACATCTGATTCATTTTGTAACCAGTCCCAGATGCGGCAGCGTGAGAGTGTGTTCGCATGAGCGCGTCATAGTGAGTTTGTCAGTGCATGATAATTTGGGGGAGAATATCTGCTGTCTAGAGAACGGGAGGGAAAGAAGAACCGTGTGGATTTTTTTTTAATATAACTTTTTTAGGTATGAACGCAGCGTGCGTCTCATACTGCGATATGACATCGATGGATTCATATTATAACACGTCTACTGCGCAAGGTAGGGATCACCAGGCGAACCCGTTCAGGACTTTCCCGACCACTGAACCCAAATACAGCCCCACGTTCATTCCGGGTAAAGTACAGGCTTATGGAGAGAAGTCCCGGAGTCCTTTCCAGCCGGAGTGCCAGTCGTTGGATGGCGCTGAGGACAGCACCTTCAACAAATACCAGCTCTTCATGCAGCGACCGACCTGCAAAACTCCACCCGAAGGCAGCAAGCTGCACCCGGACAGCGGACACAACGGGACGCTGATTCCCTGCTATGGTGAGTGCACATGAGAGGGGCACACAGTGCGAACTATGAGACATTCGATTCGGCATTGAATTCAACGACAATGCATGACAAACGGGGAGGTTTGCAAGCAATAATGAAAATGTACTGTCGTGAGTAACACAGAATCTGAAAGTCAGTAGAAAGTGTGAGCGACGAGCAGAGAGGAGGAGAGGGTAAACCCACAGAGACACCCATCAATCATATATACATATTTTAACTGAACACAACTGTGTACGTTTCTAAATTAAATGCATATTGAATTTAACAATGCTGTTTCCTATCAAACTATTGTGGGAAACTGGGAGCGATGAAAAGAAAAGTAAACTCTGTGTGTATAGGGAACAGAATACCTTAGTTGCATTAAAACCCTTAGAAAACCGATAACATTTGCGTGAAACAAGTTGATATAAAGGAGAACTAAATTGAATCATTGATTATTTGAAATATATTCGAGGGAGAGTCAGATTTTGCAAGCTGAGCTATAATTAAATAGAGAAATTGGTTTCCTTTATAGGAGATGTGTGCTAAGGCAGAGAGGTAAAGCAGTTATGGAAAACTTATGTTTGAAAGGATGTTTGCACATTTGTGTGTACGCTTATTGGACGTTTCCATCCACATATAGTTTATAAGTTGATCCTGAAACCGCAGCATTTTACTGATCTCACTGTCTATTATTGTCTGGACAGTAAAACTCACGTCATCCCTGAAACGTAGAAACGTCATGAATTATTTTCATATTCAAATATGAAGCCATGTAGGCATGAGGCACGCGCGCATAAGCAAGCACGCCCAAACTGAGAATCGAGGACATATATAGTAAAAATGAAGAAACTAAATATTTCAACTGCACTATTTAACATAGTGTATTATGTTCATAGCATTGTTTTATTTTTAGCACGAGTGATTATTTGATGATAAAACATATTTGTACATTTATTCAATGGAGTAGTTACAGGCAAAGACCTCACAATTTGTACAACAGTCAGTGACACATTTAGAGACTGTCTGGACGTCCTGACAAACAGCATTCATTTTAAACAAAAGCTTAAACGCTTTACAGGGTCTTCCGACAATTCGTTGCACTACAAATTTACCATTTAAAGAAAACAATCCATTTTACTGTCTCTTTTATGAGACGCGGAGGCTTAAAATAAAAAGACGGAACACTGTTAATGTGCAGAAGTGGACTCTGTGTGACACCAGGACCACACGAGAGGACCGACAGCCTAAAAAAAAAAAAGAATGTAACGTGTAAAAATGAACTCGTATAATGTTAAGGTGTTTATACACTGTATTATATCCCTGAAAAACTATACTAATTATATATTTTTTGAAGTTATCAGTGTATCGACGTATACATATATTTCAGGTCCAGATGTTTATCATGATAATACAGAACAAAACATCTGTTATTATCGTGGCTGAAATAACCTATAAATAGACATTTTAATCGACAATTCCTGCTGGAAAAATAATTCAGTCACTAAAATAAATAAACTGGGGCTGAACATGCCAAACACTATTAAATACACTAAATGCTAATTGTTCACATATGTACATTGAAGCATTAGGTGTAACAAATACAATGGAACTGCACTTTCCACTCATTAAGGCCTACTTCTTTTTTTGTGCATAGCCAACACATTGCCAAAATGCATCCTCAAAGTGTAAGTAATCTGTTTTCCTGAGAAACAACAAGTTGCTGAACTGTCACTTTTTTTTTCTGGAGTTTGGGAGCAATGTGTCCACACAGGTTGGATCCCCCTACACTGAAGTGAATTGATTTGGCAAGTGCATTGACAGAACCATTTAAACACCCTCATTAAATGCAACATGCATGCCTCCCTCGAGGAGAGCTCTGCAATATTATCATTGAAAATGTTGCAGCCAGATGAATGCATTGTGGCTCTGGGGAGGATGATTTGGGCTCCTGCCAAAGCCTCAGGCGTCAACAGGCTTTTGCTGTTTTGTGTGGTCCTCAATGGAAGATATATCGCTCAATGCTGACGCTTTATCTCCATCACGATGACAAAAGTCATCTCATACCCAAAGGAACTTTTCAATGTGGCAACTGTAATACTGCTTACACAGCAACCCAATATTTTGTCTGTACAAAAAATGAGGAAAGAAATGTGTAGACATATGCTATATATTTAATATGTTGATATTTAAATTTGATGACAGAAGAAAAAATAAACATGTGGATTTATTTAGTTAATTCTGTTAAAAGATAAAAGATAATGGGAAATATTTTTGGCATATATGCTGCAAGATGTTCACACCTCATTTTCCCTCTTTTAATTGAGAAGGCTTCCAAACTTTTTTCCAGAATATTTCTTTAAAATGCCACAGTATATCATTCAACTGTAAACAACATTAACATTTAAGAGCTGGAAAGCAATTATAAAATTATAAATTTAGATGTCGAACATTTCTACTATGAATTTCTAAAAGCACTGGATAGTGTTTGTAACAATACAAGATTGTCTTTGGAGGAGTGAATGAACATATTTCTGCACAGTAGTGGCTCAGGTTGGCGGGTTTGTTTCCTTGTGTGCATGTTAATCAGTGAGACTGTCCCACAGCGAGAGCAGGGATGGAGCCGTCTACCTGCTCACACAGCGATGAATGAAATAAAACCCTTGGAGCTGATCGAGTGCTGAGGAATGCAGGTCAGCACTGCAGGAGAGGTCCGCATTAATCTAAGGCAGATGTGCATTACTGGCTCCTATAGTTATTATTCATACTCCCCAAACATCAGATCTCCAAAGCTTCAGAGAGTGCCTGAGATGACAAAATGGGACTGGCTTACATAACCCTGTGTCAACAACACCTTGTATAAATAAGCAACGAGTCAGAAATGGACATTGATATTGGGTAATGATTTGAGGGACTCGGGAGGAATGAGAGGGTTTCACAAACGTGTGGGAATGTTTACATGCACGTATTTTACCTGACTCTATGGCTTTGAGACGCTTTGCATATACAAGTCCTCTGCTTCATAATTGTTATTCATTTTCAGTTTTTATCTTCGATAGAGATTACTTGCTGCAACATGAACTTTTGATGAAACATATTCACACTTTCTTTATACATTTGAGAGAATGTAAGTGGTGCGAAGGCTAAAACTGAAAGTCATTGTGTTTGTAGGCCTGTAGTTGATACTGTGGTTGACTTCTGAAGTGCTGATGTACAATGTGTTTGTGGGAACACTACTCACTAAAGGCAGTTTGTGCCTCGTCCTCTTTGTGCTTTAACAAAATAATGGTTTAAATCTAATGAAAACATTTATAACATACAGCTTGATCACTCTGTCCTTTCAAACAAACCCCATTCTCCCTTTAGCGGGATATCGAAGCATCCTGTGATATGTAAAACATTTTTCTCTGCGCATGAAATACAAAACAAGACCCCAAAAAAGTCCTGGCAGCATTTTAAAAGCCTCCTGTCACAATATAGTACTCTGGTAGAAGGCGCTGGGAAGTGATGTCATAGGATATGCATGTGCTGATGACTAACACATTGTGTCGATGTTAACAATAAGCATGAATGACACCTGTGATCGTGCCGCCTTTTGTCTGTGAACCAGAATAAATTTGAATATGTAATGAGAATGCTTGAAACCACGAAGTCCTGGCTTGTTAAAATGTAATATGTGAAGCAGCAGCAATCTGCCCGCCATTAAATGAAAAGACATTCAACTCTGAGGACAATTGTGTTTCATGACGCGTTACTTTTTCTCAAAGTCTTTTTAAATATGCTTATGCTGTTACTCAGCATGGCTTGCTCTTTACTTCCATCCACCTCTCCTGCAGGGGAAGATAACTCCACACAGCCTACCTGGGAATTGCATGCAGGCGAGATTAAAGAGATGCTTTGGAATTCTTAACCAGCTGGTGCACATTTTGCTCTGTGCCTTTTGTGTTGAGGCTGTCGCTGAGTCTTTACTTTGACTTCCTTGATTCTCATCAATGGACTAAATCTAACCTCTGTACGTTCTTGAATCATGCAAACATTTGGCCAAACAGTGCTATGGTCAAGAAAGGGATGCAAGCTTCTTGCCTGACACGTCACAAAAAAAATAGTAAAGAAAGCCAACTGTGACAGACTAATGATGGAAACTACTGGGCAGCACAAGAGTATGATGATCACTATGGGCCCATGATTAACAAAAGTCATTTTTCTATTTCTCAGCTTGCTTTCAGTAGTGAGATACAGCTCATTTTGCTTGTTTGATATATATATATATATATATATATATCTGCACAAAAAAATTTCTTTAGCTCCTCTATGATTCCAAAGAGGCAAAAATACCTAAAAACAGGATTTTGAAATGATCTAGAAAGTATAAAATGAGATTGTGGAATGAATTCAAGACTGGAAAAGAAGGAGAGGCTAACAGATCATTGATGATTGATAATCTACAATCCCCTTTGATTTCAATTCCTTGTCCTATTTTTAGTTCATGTTTATCACCCAACCTAAACCTACATATAGTATTGATGATACAAAACACAATCACAGCATTAAAAAGACATGCCTGACAAATGATTTAATCTTGAACTTGAGAGTTTAAAAGTTTCACTATGGACTGTTTACATTGATATATGACATTAGGTACAGTGGGTACGGAAAGTATTCAGACCCCTTTAAATTTTTCACTCTGTTTCATTGCAGCCATTTGCTAAAATCAAAAAAGTTAATTTTATTTCTCATTAATGTACACTCAGCACCCCATCTTGACAGAAAAAAACAGAAATGTAGAAATTTTTGCAAATTTATTAAAAAAGAAAAACTGAAATATCACATGGTCATAAGTATTCAGACCCTTTGCTGTGACACTCAAGGCACTCAAGGTTCCTAAGAGCACAGTGGCCCCCATAATCCTTAAATGGAAGAAGTTTGGGACGACCAGAACTCTTCCTAGACCTGGCTGTCCAGCCAAACTGAGCAATCGTGGAAGAAGAGCCTTGGTGAGAGAGGTAAAGAAGAACCCAAAGATCACTGTGGCTGAGCTCCAGAGATGCAGTAGGGAGATGGGAGAAAGTTCCACAAAGTCAACTATCACTGCAGCCCTCCACTAGTCGGGGCTTTATGGCAGAGTGGCCCGACGGAAGCCTCTCCTCAGTGCAAGACATATGAAAGCCCGCATAGAGTTTGCCAAAAAACACATGAAGGACTCCCAGACTATGAGAAATAAGATTCTCTGGTCTGATGAGACCAAGATTGAACTTTTTGGCGTTAATTCTAAGCGGTATGTGTGGAGAAAACCAGGCACTGCTCATCACCTGCCCAATACAATACAATACAACAGTGAAACATGGTGCTGGCAGCATCATGCTATGGGGGTGTTTTTCAGCTGCAGGGACAGGACGACTGGTTGCAATTGAAGGAAAGATGAATGCGGCCAAGTACAGAGATATCCTGGAAGAAAACCTCTTCCAGAGTGTTCTGGACCTCAGACTGGTCCAAAGGTTCACCTTCCAACAAGACAATGACCCTAAGCACACAGCTAAAATAACAAAGGAGTGGCTTCGGAACAACTCTGTGACCATTCTTGACTGGCCCAGCCAGAGCCCTGACCTAAACCCAATTGAGCATCTCTGGAGAGACCTGAAAATGGCTGTCCACCAACGTTCACCATCCAACCTGACGGAACTGGAGAGGATCTGCAAGGAAGAATGGCAGAGGATCCCCAAATCCAGGTGTGAAAAGGTTGTTGCATCATTCCCAAGAAGACTCATGGCTGTACTAGCTCAAAAGGGTGCTTCTACTCAATACTGAGCAAAGGGTCTGAATACTTATGACCATGTGATATTTCAGTTTTTCTTTTTTAATAAATTTGCAAACATTTCTACATTTCTGTTTTTTTCTGTCAAGATGGGGTGCTGAGTGTACATTAATGAGAAATAAAATGAACTTTTTTGATTTTAGCAAATGGCTGCAATGAAACAAAGAGTGAAAAATTTAAAGGGGTCTGAATACTTTCCGTAACCACTGTATGTACCTTTAACTTGCGTCAAATGCATTTAGTTGCAAATACTTCAAAACTCTCCTTTTAAAATGAAATGCTTTACCAAAATACTATTTTATCAATATGCTCCACAAGTTTTTTCCCTTAAGAAGAAAACATGTAAACTGTCAACAATATGTCCTGCATTAAAAAAAAAGCATACTATTTTTGAGCTCTTTGATATGAGACAGTGACAGCCACGGCCCAAGGTATTATGACAGTAGTGAGGTCATGATTGTGTCAATTTATCAGGAGCTGAGGCTGAACAGAAATACTTTTAAGTTTCTCAGGGAATCTGCATTCCTGCATGAGCCGCTGGCATAGATCTCTCCTCAGGAACATCTGGGAGCCTCCCTTCCACCGAGGAAACAACAGTCAACATCAGGTCTTAGACTGTGCTGCGGGAAAAATAATCCAGCCCAAAGGATGTCTGCGAACCAGCAATGAATGAACAATTAATAGCCACCAAAGGCAGTGAAATATTTGACTTTATTTGGTCCATATAAGGTGTGATGAGGGGAGCGCCATTGTGGCAGACTGCTGTTAGCTTTGAGTGTTTTGAAAGAACAACTTTGAGTGCTCGGTTTAAAAGCATTCCCTTCCCTATTTAGTGTTTGGTCATTAACCCTTCCCCAGGTTACTAATTTATAGTGTTTCTTTTATTTGGCTTCACTTGACCCTCCCTATCCCATTCCATAAAAACTGAGAGGGTGCCCTGTTGCTTTACAACCAGTTAAATTACACTTTGATGTTTTCTCTCTGTTTTCAGCAGTGATTAAATTGCTGACCCTAGTAAACATCTGACCTCGGCTAACTGAAGAGGTCTGCAGCTTGTCACAGAGTAAATGGCAAATTGCGGGATCAGCCGGTGACATTAGTGCATTTACATACACGTTGATCAATACTGAAATGGGAACAGTCAAAAACACATTCCTCTGAATGCCAAAACAAATCTGGAGTCAACGCGGTGGAATCTTGGCTCGCAAAAGAAAGTGTGTGATGGCTGTGTTCTCCAGAACAGTGTGCAGAAACACACAGCTCAGCATGCGGGAATACTAGAAGATGTTTGTGGCAAAGGACTCTGTGTTGTTAGCGTGACAGAGAACAGAGAAATACGAGTACCAGACAGAGAAAGATTTTAATGAGAGCAGATTCTAGAGCTCATTGTGGTGAAATAAGTCTGTATAAGGCTGAAAACGGTTCTCTACACGATATTCAGAGCATTAATATAGCAGCAAACAACTATGTGTAATGTAAAGATATAGTTAAGTGAGATCTACCTGAGCAAAGAATAGAAGAAAGTCATGCTTTGTGTGTGTTGTAATCTGAGCTTCTACTTGCTTTGTTGGCATAGCCACATGTTAGCTTGTCCCACTGATTAGCTCACGAATGTCGCTCTGCAATGCTCTCATACGGCGGTTACAGTTGAAGCTACCGCCACTAGCCACTTGGCTTTGCTGAAAATAGGCCCAAACAGCTGGCTTGTCTCTGTGTAAAGGTAACAAAATCAGACTACCAGCAACTCTAAAGGTCACTAATTAATTCACCGTTTATTGGTTTAATCTGTATAACAACAGAAGTGCAAAAACAACAAATTGCCATTTTACAGAGGGAGATGTTGTGAACAATTCCCATATGAGCCCTAAGAAATAACGAATTGTCAGCTCTTTATGCTAAATTTAGCCAACCAGCTGCTCAAGGTAGCCGCGTATTCAGACATGAAAGTGGTATTATTCTTTTCATCTTACTCTCAGTAACAATACAAATAAGTGTAATTCCCAAACTGTCAATCTATTTTATTAAATGTTCTTATTAGTGCTATTCCAGAGTAAACGTAGTCGATATATGTAGAGCTGTATAAGACTACCGACTACCCCACCATCTTCCCATCCCCCAGCTGCACCCTTTGCCTTACAGGATACATGCCTTGCTCAGGGGCATTTTCTCTCTCACAGATGCAAATGCAAAATAGGAACCTGGAGTTGACCTGTCTTACTTCTTAACATTGCAGCCATGCTGCTGCCCAGGGGCAGAAAGAAAATATTGCACATTGCTTTAGCATTAGAGGCCAGTGCAGGGGTAGGTGATGTCAGAACATCTGCCTGCGTGAAGACTGTAAGAGGGTCTGACAGGTGGGCCACAGAGATATGAGGTCATGAACTCCAGCTGGGCGAGCTGTGTTGTTCCATTAGCGTCTCTGTCGGGGCAAGTCTGAGCCAGCGAGCAGGGGAGGGCTGCTGCAATATCGAGAGGATGACTATTGACATCTCATTGTGGGACATGCTAGCCAAAGGCGTGCTAATCCATGAAAATAAATATGCATGTTACAGACAGCCACCGCCTAGCTTCATCACTCTAAAACTATTCAGTCATCCAACTAACCACTAAAAAACTTGGCTCAGACAGTCACCAGTGCCACGAGGTGTCAACTCTCCTTCCCTCGTTGCACTGGGTTTCTGAGGATGACAGGAGGCCATTATTGACATTGCCCATAACAAAAATGCAAATGGACAAAGAAAGAAATGCTAAAGTTAATCTCCTAAGCTTGATTTAACTCAGAGACAAATGTAAAAAATAGTAATGCTGGTGTTGCACAATACTTTGTTTATGTGGAAGAGACCATTATGTGCTGGTTTCAGACTAATACAGTTAGGACAGGGCGCTCACCATGCCCAGTCACAGGAAAGGCAAACAGAGTGGCTGACAGAGCACACTGTTCTCACTGGACTGCAACCAGAGCCCTTCAGCTTATTTATTCACACAGCTGTTTGTTTATTGAAGGAGAAGGGACAGCTTTCTTCATCTCCTGAAAGGAAACAAAAAAGCTAGCAAGCGCTGACAGGAACAGAGCGTGGTCTGTCACAAAATGGACGCTCACAAAATTGAAGGTGACAAACACAATGTTGTTTACATCTCGGGGGCAAGCCAGCGGGGGCCAGCGTGGTCGTACACAAGGCCCGAGAGGGAGCAGGTTTTAAGTGGCTTGGGTTTCAGGTGGCGTGATTGAGAGATGTGAGGGAAAGGGCTTCAAGGTTTGTGTCGCAGGTCACGCCAATGTGTAGTGACATAGCTTTCAAACAGAGAAAGACGTTTCTTCTCTAGTTGCAAACAGACAAGGCCTTTGAACCTTAAAATAAAACATTACAGCGATGACGTAAGCTTGAAGTAAATGTCATTTAATGTGGGTGTTGAAACGTGATGATGAGCAGACACACTCCCTGACTTTTCAGCCACATTTTTAAGAAAGTATTGCTCTGCTGAATATTCCAATTATAGAGTAGTAACTATAATTATAGGACTATTATTGACATGTGGTTGTAATAGCTTGCTTGAAAATCATACGATACGGTAAGAATATGATTTGTGTTACATGTGAAGCCACACAAACTGTGAAAGTTATTTAGATTTTTCATGCTTCATATGAAAATCTTAAGAACGGCACACTTCAACCGAAACCAAAATTGCTCAAATGTTTTTTATTTGAACCACAGTGTAACGTCTAAACTTTAATAAGTAGGTTTCATGAGGTTTTTGAGAAGGACCGTTAAACCACATCACAGCCTTCAAGGGTCTCTCCAGTGATTTAGTGTTGTACTTGCATAACATTGGAAAGAGATATATTGGTAAAAATGTATGCAGCAGAGGCTGAGATGTTCCGATTATAATGTACCAAAAACCCTGGATCCTGCATTTCCCATAATGCAAATGGTTAGCGTCTTTAATTCAACCTCCACACCTTCAATTTGTAATGCTTTCTGTTCAAAATTTGAAGACTTAAGGCCGAGCTGAGACATTTTTCAAACCTTCAAAATACAATTGATTGTGACCTTTCACACTTCTTGTGTCTCATACATACTTACAGGAAAAGACAACAGCGGCCTGACAGAGTCCGAGTTACCCCCGGGCGTCGACGCTCCCGGGATGGAAGGCAGCTACCTGAACCTAAAGGCGCCTGGCGAGAAGGGCCTTAGCGAGCGGCCCGGCTCTGACTTTTCCAGCCCTCTGGACAAAAGTGAGGCCGAGAGCAACAAAGGCAAGAAGAGACGCAATCGCACCACGTTCACCAGCTACCAGCTGGAAGAGCTGGAAAAGGTTTTCCAGAAGACACACTACCCAGATGTTTATGCCCGGGAGCAGCTGGCACTGAGGACGGACCTGACGGAGGCTCGTGTACAGGTGAGGACGGGGGATTAACGGCAGGTTACATAAGAAAAATTTGCTTCTGCATTGACATGAGCTAACAAGTCCTATAAATTGAACAACAAAATATGTAATTTGTCTACTTAAACCATTACATAAACGACCCTCTGATCAAGTTTTAGTTAGATTTAAGCACAAACACTTGGTTGATCATGATCATGCAACAAACAAAACAAAAAAACCTGACTGCTGGATTGAAACGGAAAACAAACAGCGGTTTCCTATGTTAAAGTCTATCCAACCCGACCCCATATTTACTCTATAATCATCTGATTTCCTCCTTTGCTTCCATCAAAATTAGAGATGTACCAATCCAACTTTTTCAGTCCAGATACAGGTACCTGGGCTTTGAGTATCGGCTGCTACCAAGTACCGATCCGATACCAGTGTTTAATAATAAGCTGTATGTTTCACTGTGTGGAAGAAACTGGGATCATACTTTTATGTGGAGGCAACATAATACTGAACTGTTATTTAATAACATAATGGTATATCCAATACCAGATTGGCCCGTGGTCAGCTATTTGAGTCAGTGTTGGACCAATATCAGTACTGCTGTAACCAAAATTACTGCAGCAACTTAAAGGCTTTGTCACTTTTCATCATAAACATACTGCGTTTTGGGACACTTGCTGAAATAACATATGCTGTCATTCCTTTTTGGTAGAACAGCCCAATGAGTTGTGTTGTATGACTGCAGTCGTTATTGTTTGCGTGCTAATAATCACTCCGGGAAAAGACAGAGAGGGCTGGGAGAGTTAAGACTGGCATGTTGACAAAGATTGTTCGGAGCAGCAGACAGCGAGGCCTATTGTTCCTCATCTCTCTTTCTGCCTGCCAGTTTTAGATCAGAGTGGGATGGGTGGGACTAAGGGAATACTCTGCTCTTACATGCTGCAAACTCTGCAGAAGGGTCAGAGGCCAAGGGTTTCTCCCCAGCACTACCATGTTCAAACTACTTCACCGCACAACTCTTGAGGCCTGGAGGAAAAACACATGGAGAGAAAAAGAAGTCATCAAAGCTGTTTAGCAAGGATATACTTTGAGATGCCAGTTTCAATTTCCATGCGTGGTCCGAGACATAGTCAGGGACAGAGAACCTGGCCTGGTCCTTGCGGTGGTACAGTAAAATAAGTACATTCATGTTGCGTTCACACAGAGCCATCTATTCCCCAGATGAATATAATTAACTTCCTCATCTGACAGCCACACAGCAGACTGTTGAGTCACTGTGAGGTTTGACCCATACTTCTAAAATCAGACCCTAAATATGTACGCAATCAAGACTAAACCCCACAATTTCATCTGAAGGTCTATCAAGACAAAGTCCAGGGATATCCAATTGTTGAATACCAAGGGGCACTTGAAGCTTGGCAACTGATCGGAGAATCCTTTTCATCTCCGAAACAACAGCCATTGAAATCCGGAGTACAGATGTTTTCTCCCAAAATGCCAATGTCAAGGTCCTACAGTTTCATCCACTGTTTGATGATGAACGTCTTCATAAAGTCGGGCTGCAGTTTTCCATAATCACATCTGTGACTTCTGCTGCCACTAGTTTATTTAGTACAATTAGCTCTCAACCTCAGACTTGAACTTCACCACACTGCCTACTTTTTATGGAGAGGGAGGCTGTGTGAGTGACTGCTGAGGCAGTCTATCAATCGCAGTGGTCCTGGATGACAGAGATGAGGTGAGACGGCTGGACTTCAAAGCCTGCTTTTGGAGTTATGCACTCTGCCCTCCCTCTCTCCCTGCCTGCTGGCTCTGGAGCATAAATAAAGCTCTTTAATGGCTCTGTAAGCTGCCTTTTGCTGTCAACGTCTTTAGCAATTACTGTATCACCGCCAAGCACTTTGAGCACCAAGAGCTCTGAGCCACCTTCCTTGCAGATGTCTGCTAGATAAAATAAAGAAGAGAAGTGTATGCAGTTGGCAAATACCATCCTTTTGGGCTCCATATATAAAATGGGTCACCGTTGATCATTATGAGAAATAATAAAAAAAAAAAATTGTATTAATTGACATTCGGCTTGTGCAAAAGCACCACCAGCTTTCCTTTCGAACAAACTTAGAAGTTGGGGATTAAGGGACGCGGCACCGCAAAGGACACATCTGACTTCATAATGTTCCCCGAATGATCTCCCTGCCAAACTATTTGGCTTGGGTCTCATTCCTTCTGCTGTTCAAAGGCAGAGCTAGAGCGAACCCTCTGTGAAACATGACACACTCAGTCCCCAAAAACCAAGGCAAGGGGCATATATACATATGTGCTCATACATTGTTTTCTTGTTTATAAAAGGCTCCAGTAAGTGTGTGAGTGTCCAGGTTAAAAGATCACATTGGTTTATGACTGACTTTGAATTTTGCATATCATGGTATGTAAATGCATGTGTTTTCTGAGTATGTGTCCACTGCTCTCGTCTGCACGCCTCCAATAGGTCAGAGTGGTTAACTGCGGAAAGCCAAGGGCTTAGGCGTCAGGAAATTAAACATGAAATGAAAACAAGCTCCAGTTTGAACATTCTCCCATCTCACTTTCCAATATCCCCACTTCCCCTCGCTGACTTAAAAGGGAGGAGGGAGGAGAAAGACAAGGAGAGAAGGGTCGGCGGTGGGGGGAGAGAGGGGCTGGAGTGGGAGAGAAGAGGCTGAGCTTTAACGGGGGGGAAGACAAAGAGATTAAAAGTAGGAGTAAAGTTGGGTTATCTTGATCCATCACAATTAAAATGACAGCTCGGTAACTGATAACACTTAATATTTTAAAAGGAGAGTCGAACTTTGAATGTACTTGTACAACATTATAATACCGACATTAACCTTGGCCCCAGTTTGTGCCTCTCATGTATTACCTTCACATTCTAGTCGTAGAGCTAAGCATCCAATTTTCCTCAAGATAAATTCCTGGTGATCTTTCAAAAGCTCAGAAAGCTTAAAATCACTAATCGTTGATCTGAAAGTATTTCCGGAATCCTAAAAGACTTATAATGTTGTGAATGAAAATGTACTCCTTCAGCTACACAATACAAAATAGTTTTGGGTTTTCAGAAGTTGTGACTGTATTTTCTAATCCAGGAAGTCGTAAATTACATGTTTTTGCTCAGACAAAATAGTGGCTCGTTATTTTGTATGAAAATATAGAATATTGGAAAGAAAGATCAATATAAACCAATACAATAAATAGTTTTAATTTATGTTCAGGTTGCACATATTGAGCAAGGCTACCATCTTTGTTTGGATTAGGAAAAGAGGTTCAACTTGGGAAACAAGTTTAAAATCTTTACATTCGTTCATCCAGGTGGTTAGAAGAGTCTTTGAGGATTGCCTTTGTTGTTAAATGATTTTTTAAATGTTGGTGTGTGTTTATCAGATGCTCATCTCTGTGACTTGAATGTAACAGCAATACATAAGAGGCTCCCTTAACCTTTGACCAATCAAACCGTGTGTCAACTTTCTAGAAACTTGAGACTGATGAGCGAGTTTCACACTCATCAGTCCAATCAGGACCTTTTGTGTTGAGGATTATATTTGGAAACCTGTGATGTTATGAGCTCAAATAACCGCAGAAGACCAAAAGCAAGACATGACGAAGCTCAAACAATAATAGATCCCAAATCATCAGGGGGGGCATAACATAGACTCTGAGTCCCCCTCCAAACATATGATATAATTCAAAGGGCAACAACCCCTCACCTTGACATTGGGGTTCAGCCACAACCTCAGATATCAGTTTACCACTTTGTCAGGGTGAGCTGTTCACTAATCTCGCCAGCTGACCCAAGGAATGTCGGAGTCAGACGACATTTCTTTACATCACATTCTCGCAAAAATACAGGCAGCAGCTATATGTGCCACAGGAGCCCATGTATGGTCTTCTCTTTGACAAGATGTCAGAAAAATGACAGGTTTGTGTGCATGGTGCAGAGCTTATAACTAGTCTTCTCTCGTTTGATAAAAATCCACTCCTGTCCCGAAAGAAAAACTCAGTATGGGATAACATCTTTGTGCGACACTGTTCATGTTTGTCACCAAACTCTATTGTGTTTAAGTTAATACAGAGAAGTGGGGAGAGAGTGACATGGTAGGGGGGATTTGAGGAGGAAATTGCATGTCATGGACTGTGAAAACCACAAGCTGATTGGTCTGGGAATCAACCCACAATCCAAGTTCAAACCCCTGTGTCAAGGCAGGATCACTCTCTTTTCTCTTTGAAGTTTCCCTTTCCCTCTTGGGAGGATAAGATTCAGACAACTAACAAATACGTACAAATAAACACGAGAAGACATCCAGTACCCCCCTTTGCTCCTCCAAACTCTTGCATATAGATGTGAGAAAACATTGTAGAAAAAAGCGTAGCAATAGTTACAACTGAACAGATAACTTATTTACAAATCATTGCAGCTCTAGAGCAGCAGAGATGTTTGGCCTTACAGCAGTTTGGAGGCTACTTATGTGTCCATATAGCTAATATTTCAACAATTATAAAGCAATATAAGTTGAAACATACAAAAGACATGGCTTGTGCCAAGGACTCCATTGTCTACATGGTGGTTATACAATATCAATATCTAGGAGCTGTTTTATCCAATAATGTTCATCTTTATCTACACTTGTCAAGTCAATTTTGTTTATCCAGCCGAAACAGCAAGTTTACCTCAAAAAGATTTACAATCTGTACAACAATAATACAACATCTAAGTTCTCTATACTCAGAACCTCAACTGGGTCTATAAAAAAACTCCCCCATCTAACTTTAACATGGAAATAAGAGGAATAACTCTCAAAAGGAGCAACAGAGGAGGAATCCTTCTGCGAGGAAAGACAGACACTAGATGTCCTGTATACAGAGAAGACATAAATAACCAAATAAGTTATACCAAGACTGCAGTAGAATATTTGAGGGAATTTCTCTCAGGATACAAATTTTACTTTTTGGCTCAACTGTCTTCCACCCTTCAGTCCTGCTTTCCTCCAGTGCCGTCCACAGCTAGAAAGAAGTAGGCTTAGCCTGCACTTGGTCTGTCAGCAGGTACTGAAAGTACTACCTACTTCATATACAGCATCCAATACTTATTAATCCCAAAAATGGGTAAAGAAAAGCATATTCTTGGTCAAAAGTTGAACTTTGGTTTCATGGAATATACACAGGGATTCCCCACTGTATCCCGCGGTGCTGACATGTGGGGGAGAGCACACCTCTCCCAGAGTGATTTATGAATGGCTACAGGCCCAGATGTGGATCTGTCGATGCTGGCAGCCTGAAGGGAGGCAGACGCCTGTGTATCAAAGGGAGGAGCTGATTCGTGCAGCACCAGGGGAGACTCAAAATGTTCACATCAATAGCTCCGTGTGTACGGCACTTTAAAGACACGTCAAGTCTTAAAACCTGGGTCTGCACTTTCATGTGCTGCAGAATTTATTTGCTTCACTATCTTTATTTTATGTGGTTTAGTTTAGGGAGAGGATGGCCTTGTTTTTGCAAAAAAAAAAAAAAAAAGTTCTTGGGTTTGCACGGGATATGAAATATATGAGAGCTTTCTCATAGATTCAAGTTTTGTTTGGTAGTGGCTGGTCTGTTTTTTCCTGATGGGTTGTTTTCTTTGCAGGTGTGGTTCCAGAATCGCAGAGCCAAGTGGAGGAAGAGGGAGCGTTACGGACAGATGCAGCAGGTCCGGACACACTTCTCTACTGCTTACGAGCTGCCTCTACTAACTCGGCCTGAGAACTATGCACAGGTAAAGGAAAATTTTTGGTCTCTACCAACTTCTGAGGGAAATATCTGTCTCTTTAGCTACTGAATGTTCCACTGAGTTCACCGGCTAGCAGCTTACTACGTCTCTCTGCTGTTTAGTGCTGAGCAGGTAGTGTACAGTGGGGTTTTAGAGCTTTTTTCTGAAAACAGCTGCCTGCTGCGGCTAACATCAACGTTATGAGAGCAGTAAGAGTGAAGAAGAACAGTGAAGTTGTGGGCCGGACAGCTGAACAATGAGCTGAAACTTGCTATAATGCTCCGTAAATGGGGGTGCTGCAGATCCAGGGGATGATTCTCTGTGGGTGCATCACTACAAGCGACCCCTTGCACAAAAATATAAATTTAGCCACTTTAACTCATAATTCTTGCTTTTGTCATCCAGATCCAGAACCCTTCGTGGATCGGGAGCAGCAGTGGAGCCTCTCCAGTGCCGGGTTGCGTTGTGCCTTGTGACTCCGTCTCCTCCTGCATGCCGCCTCATCCTCACGGTCCTGGAGGCATCTCTGAGTTCCTGGGCGTGCCCAGTCCAGGGAGCAGCCACATGGGACAGACACACATGGGCAGCCTTTTTGGGGGTCCCGGGATGGGCGGGGGAATCAATGGCTACGATCTTAACCTTGATCCAGACCGCAAGTCTTCCAGCATAGCTGCGCTGCGTATGAAGGCCAAGGAACACAGTGCAGCCATCTCTTGGGCTACATGAGGTCTCAGTCCAGTTCCACCCTGCCCCCTCATGGCCCTCTTCTCTGGAGCAGCCATCAGCGAGCTGAGCATCTGTGGGGGAGGAGGGAGTTTTCCTGAGAGCACTAATGATAACACAGGTCAAATGAACAGGGAGAGACTGTGGAGATAACAGAGGCCATTACAGCGGCCAACGCAACCAAGATAACAACTGTGACTGTGACAATCAGCAGATGCTGAAAGTGAGAGAAATACAGAGGTGTGACTCGGGAGAAGATGTTACTGAGACGTTGCGTTCATTCTCGATTCCTTGATCTCTCAGGTCGCATTGAAATATGGGTTCAGTCCTCAATAAACTGGGTATCATTCATGATAATGATTTCAGTAAGATAAGCAATATAATAAATATGGTTTACAAAATACTATCATAGAATAAAGGAATGCAGTGTCAAAGCCAGCACTAGCATACAGTATATAATTTACAGAGGTAAGCTTGATTCACATAATTTACTTCCCATAGCTTGTTTTTTATACCACCCATTCTGCTCCACTCATTTTATTTGTGTTACTTTAGACTTGTCTCTCTTATTGTATACTGTACATGAGCTCAAGAACATAGTAACAAGTGAGTGAGATTTCCGTTTATGTCGGTTGCCATTGCAAACTGTCCTTTAAAACACGATAACTGGTTATAAAAGAAAACGTACATTTTGTCGAAGCTTGCGGTGCATAGTTTATGTCCCTGCAAAGAAGGACAGAGGTTGAATGCAATAAGTGAACAGAGTCTAATTGAGTGAGAGCAGACATGGCCTGTGCCAATTTATTCTAGGAGGAGGGCAGGCATTGGATTGGCAGCAATTTCAAACCAACGTGTCATTTCCTCCCCCAGGGCTGCCTCCACAGGTTCTCCTGCTAGGCTCAGGCCTCAGGTTACAGGAAACACCGTCTCCACTGGCAGACGAGGCCTGGCTACGCACAGCAGCCGCCTTCAACACCAACTAGCCACGCCAGCTTCAATCAGCAACCAACAGGAATAGACACACTTAATTAGCATTAAAGTGAGCCGTCCTGCCCCGCGAACACCGTAGTACATCACAGCGCACACAAAGTTCCACACGCTGTAACAATCAATTCACCGTCAGACGTGGGCTCAGCAAAGGTGACTCTCGGATTTGTAGCTCGCTCACACAATCCGTCACATGCCAGAAACTGCCGGCCAAATCAGTGGCCCCAATCGTCCCAAAGAGCATTCTGTAATGTCTAGGTAATGTGATGACTTTAGAGCTGGGCTGCAGGAATGTGGTGAATATGTCCAGTGATTGCAGGAGTGTCTCTGTGTGTTACCCCGTCGGAATAAGCTTGTCACCAGAGCTGGGCTGCAGGCTGAGGCTAGAGACAGGCTTCATTAGACTTTTGGCTGATCTCTCTATGACGCCCGCTGGGCTACATATCCCGGTATATCTCCGGTGAGGATGATGGCAGAAGAGTCTGTTTCTGCTCCTCGTAGCTGATTGATCATTGTAACATACGAGTGCCCATCTCAGCCTCCTGCTTGAGAGTAGAAATGCAACTAACGACTTGCTTGGTCTATAAAATGCCAGAAAAAAAAAAATCTTCAAAAGATTTGTTTAGTGAGCCCAAACCCCAAAATATTCAGTTTACTATCATAAAATAAAGAAAAGCAGCAATGCTAAAGGCTGGAAAGACAGAATAATTTGCCATTTGTGCTTGAAAAATTATTCAAAATGATTATGAATACAGTTGTCGATTGATTTTCTGTTAATCCATCGTTGAAGTTTTACAATTCCTCTGTTAAATTGTAGAAAGAAATGAAGAGCTTTTCTTTTTTCATAGGATATGTCCTCATATCATGCAGTGACAAAAAAGATTGTCGTTTTCCTGTCAACCGCTATGACTATTCAATAAAAGAGAGACATTTTAAATTAATATAGACTTTGTGTGAGGACTAAAAATCCAAAAACATTATTGTCAAAAGACAAAAACAAGATGTGGTCAAAATAACTTATTGCACGACTACATGCGTGACTGAATTCCTACTTTGTCGAGTTGAGTTTGTCTTCTCGCCGGTCTTCCCTCTAGCTCCACTCCGCTGCAGCTCCGTCCATGTTGATACTACTGAAATGAAGCAATTGAAATCCAGTTATAATGTCGTATTGTGTGAATGTGAACAATATAAATGATATTGTTCTTTTGCTTGTACATTTGTTTTGCTTATTTGACAAATAATGGACCTCCATTGAAGTATTACAGTAACATTGCCTAGAAATGTTAAAATTATGTTTTGTGTTAATCTGAAGAGTTGCTCTGGACTTTTACCGAGGTTGAATTTGCTTTCTAATTTTCTTATGGCTTTAAGCAGCTTTTTATCTAGTAATCAAGTATTTCTACTTCTGATTGTGACTTTATATAATGTGTTATTGCAATAAGTTATTGCACTTACAGTGTTGGAGAAGTTTGTTTTAATTATTATTTTTGACTTCCACTAGGACAGTGGTCTCTTTGCTAAAGCCAGAGGCGTGTGGTTTTGTGTCCCAACAGTCGAGAACTGTCTCCTAAACCCGTCCATATTTAGCACCATGAACAGCATCACTGACATCTGTTTGAGGTGCCTGACATTTGTTTGTACAGAAGTAACGTGCTGTTTTTGTTGATGATGATTTTGATGTGATTTTGAAATAAATGAATCTCCAACGGTTGAATGAGTTGAGATTGTTTTTTCCGTAAGTTTCTTCTTTACAGGCCCTGAAACCTACTTTCTCAGTTTCTCATCTCTAACTGGTGAGGTCCTACAGATCACACGAATATCTCAAGTTTTTAATTCATTTATTACACATATGAATCATTGTGTTTTTGTGTCGTCACTGATCGGTGTAGTGTCACACAACTCAAATAAAATGTTGGGGGGTAAATGTGCGCTAAATAGTAAATATGGAGTGCATTCGTATACCTTAAAGGAATAGTTCAACATTTTAGGAACATTAACAAGAGTTAGAGCACAGCATGTCATTTTTACAATTCAGTTTTTGATTTGACAAGACAAACAAGATATAACGTGTTAATTAGTGAGTTTTAGAGGAGCTGGTAGGTGGCGACCTTGTTACCTTTGGACGGAGCCCAGCTATCTGTCTCCCCTTGTGTCCGGTCTCTTTATGCTAAGCTATGCTAACTAGTTGCCAGTTGAAGCTTCACATTTAACAGACAGATATAATAGTGGTATCACTCTTCTCATCTAACTTTTGACAAAAATGTGAATAACTTCCCAAAATGTCAAACTATTCCTTCAATAAATGCAAACTAAGACTTCCTCCAGTCTCTAGCTTTGATTGTTGATTAATTTGTCATGAATATGATGCTTTAAGCAGAGTTCACGACTAGAGACTTTCAAAGTTGTCAGATCGCTGTACTGTTCACACTACAGAACTTGTCTTGTAATCACTACACGACAGACCATGAATATTATTCGCGGAGCTCCAAATACTGTCGCTAAGTGTAAAATCAGGGCTAAAGATGTGCAGTGGGAATTATGCATGAGACAAAAAGAGAACAAGTTTCAAACCACTTACCAGCAAAGTAAGACCAGTGTATGTACACAGATATTCATATGCTGATATGAAATGACAAACAACAACATGCATCGCTAAACATAATTAAATAATTAATAATTAATGTAACACTGACTCAAGATGATTGTATTTGCTTGTGTATGTGTTGTTAAAGGTGGATGATATGTGATCTGATTCTTTTTCTCGCATCAGCAGCTTCCAGATGGGATGCTCTAGCCAAGCCATTAGGCTCAAAGTCAAGGCTAATAGTTTGAATGGGCCTTAAATATCTCCAGGTGGTCTTTGGCTAACAGTGTAGGTTTGGCCGAGCGAGAGAAAGCGGTCATGCAATACAGTATGCAACATCGTTTCACACAGATGTTCTTTGTTTTTACAATACGAGCTCAATCATGCAACAAAACAGTCCTCAGAAAAAAACATTTCTAATCACTTCAAAGCATCTTTCCTACACAACAAAAACGATGTCTGCAATCAATCCACCCTTTATTTCAAACTTTGTGCTGAATATTATCCACAGAAGGCACAACAACTTTGGACAACTCTTATGTAAGACAAAGGAAAGGCTCGGCCAGGAAACCAGAAAAAGATAACCCTTGCCAATTCACATCTTGCCATCGCTGTGGTCTTTACCCTACGAAGAATGTTGGAGCTCTCCCATTTCTGCTCGCTCCCAGCAACAATAGCTGTCTTTTCCACAGTTGTGCAAGAGTTTAACTGGAGCACTCTGATCGCACGAGAATGGGAAAACTCAAAAGAAGACTGCTGTCACCCAGTAAAGCCTCCAGCTCCAGTCGAGGAACTGGAGATCATCAATAGTTACTGCAATGGAAATGGAATGAATAGAAGAGCAGCTGCTTCAGTGGAGGCTTGTACAGTACATGTCAAATGAAATACTCATCATGCAATAGTCCTCTTTTATGTCCTTCATGATGCTTATAATGTTAACAATACATAACAAAAGAGTACTTCCCCCACAAAACGATTATTTTCATATAAATTACTCATACTGAGTTACTTTAAATCCTTGAAGGAAACTTTTTTCCACCATTGAGGCATGCAAGAAAAACGAAGTCTTAAAGAAATTGAGGTTGTTGGAGGACACATTTAACAATAGCAAAACTACAGCAAAACATCGGTTTACAAACTCCAGCACAACTCGAGTAGTATTATCCAAGTCTCATTTATCTATTTATCTCAGTGCTTCCCAATCACATGCATCTTTCGGTAAAACCTTACTATTTAGAACACTTTAAACTCATCCAGACTCACATGGACAGGTAGCACGTCTGCACATGCGTGAGACTGTGAATGCGGAAGTGTTTTAAAAAGGAGGGTTTTAGCAAAGATGCATGTGTTTAGGAGGTAGTGAGCATACGACTGGATAAAGGAGACTTGGATTGTGCTGCATGAGTTGTGTGAGTTTGTAAGCGGATGGTTTGATATTGTTTTGCTGTTGTCAAACACAGCCCACATTTACAACAATTCATCAAGACTTTCTCCCTGTTTTTTGATTCTTCATTCATTCATGTGAGAAAGACAAAGTTTTCTTCAAGAATTCATAACCGACATGAACTCTTAAAAACATGAAACCTTAAAAAGTTTCACTGCGCTCTTTCAAAGATTTTTCTCATCGTCAACAAATCCCATGAAGAGACTAAAACCATCAATGCGTATGTCCAACTCTCGTACTTTCCGACTTCCCAACTTTCATTAAAAAAAAACCCAAAAAAGGCCAAATAATTTCCTTAAACGGCTGGACATTAGTTCTTTGTTACTCGACCAGGAATAAATTGTACATTTGTTAGGAACTATTTTCAGCAGTTGAATTGCTCTGGTGAGCATTTAAGCTGTGTGGAGTGTTGATATGCTCAATACATGCAACAGTGTAGGTCTATGGCACAGAGGAATGAGACGTACTTTAGCTAGACACCAGACTTATCCTTTATTAATTTATGATAAGGAGTGATATATGAATACACTGACAGATTAACAAGCTCATGAGCCCAGTGAGACCATCTAACTGATGCAGACTGAGTTCAGTGGTCATCACAGGACTGATACAATCAGAGACCCAAACGACAAAATGGACCGCAATAAAGCTCGCACTGTAAATCTAATTTCGCCACTTACTTTTGGACCAATGAAGGGACTGCTATGAACTGTCGAGGACTGGAGCCAAAGGAAAATGACAAGCACACTGACCAGTAAAAAAAAAACCTCTTTTAACAGACTCATACGTGTAAATTCACACAGGCCATGTTTGCTACTATGAAACCAAAGTCTCCCTCACGCAATAACTTCATGTGACGTAAATCAAGAGAGCCAGCGGAAGCTTGATATATTGATGCTGTCCTAAGGGACATAAAAGGCTGAGCAGTCTCCTGCTGTGGCCATAAGTCAGCACTACAGCCACTCAGCACAGCTCTGTGGAGAGGAGCAGGCGGCTGATGAGGAAGGAGCACCACATACATCACTGTGTCCAGTAAAATGTCCCTCATTACAAGCTGAGAATGCCAGTTAACAGCTCACATTTAGCTAAGCTTTTGACACGCATAAGAAACCAATGCGAAACAGCGTCACTATACAACTGGTCTAAAAGTAGTAACAGCTGTTTGAAGCAAGATTTGCCAACCCAGGAAAGATGCAAACAGAAAAACAGCATGAGCAAGAGACAGGATGGTACTAAATGTATAAGCAATACTCGCTGGGACATTGTATGAACATTTTAGGATGCAACTGACAATGACAAATAAAGTGAACCCTAAATGTGTGTTTGCATGTCATTATGTCTGTGCATCACAGGATCTGACAGGTCATTGTGGCTGCAGTAGGAGTTAAGTGTAGGAGGAGGACTTAAGATCGGAGTGGAGGTTTACTGAGAGAGGAGCATGGATACCTTACTTCACCAAGCTCCTTCTAATGGGGTCTCTGGCTCTGGGCCAGCCTGTCCTATCAGCTTATCACCCAACGAGATCAGTTTCATCTCTTTTGATGCTCATACTGCGGAGCACAACTGCAGTGTTGTAAATTTGCAAATATAGTGGTCATACCTAATCAAAATGACTTT